CAAATTTCATTCCATTGGTTGCAGAGTCCTTTCTCATTTATTGAGACTAATTTCATGCCTGACATTTGGTCCAACCTAGAGAATGTTCCATGAGACTAGCAGGGTCATGGTGTCATTTGGGGGAGTGTTCTGTGAAGTTTGTTTATAGGTTGCTCCAATCTTCTGTTTCCTGGTTGAGCCTCTGACTAGTTGTTCTGCCCATTATTGGAAGTGGGTACATACACCTGTAACTACTGTTGACCTGGATTTCTCCCATAAATTGTCAGGTTTTGCTTTATGTATTTTGGGGCTTATTATTAGGTGCATGCGTATTTTTTATTTATAATCATTATATCTAGTAAACCAGCCTTGATCACTGTAGCAATTTTTTTTATATGTACATAGGTATGGTCACTCCAGCCTCTTAAATTCTGCTTTCATGGTTTACCTTTTTCCCTCCTTGTACTTTCTACTTACTTGGTGGGACTGGGGTTTGAACTCAGGGCTTCAAGCTTGCAAAGCAGTCGCTCTATGCCTTGAGCCACACCTCCAATCCACTGGGTTATATTTTGGAGATTGGGTCTCTTGAACTATTTGCCAGGGCTGGCCTCAAATCACAATCCTCCCAATCTCAGCATCCCAAATAGCTACAATTACAGGTGTGAGCCACCCTGGCGCCTGGCTTGTGGTTTCTACCTATTTGTCTCTGAATCTAAAGTATGTTTCTTGCACACAGCATAAAGTTTGATCACATGATAAAGCAAGAACACACAAGGGAGGGATGAGGATAGGTAAGACACCCAAAAAACTAGATAGCCTTTGCTGCCCTCAATGCAGAGAAACTAAAGCAGATAATTTAAAGCAACTGAGGCCAACAGGAGAAGGGGACCAGGAACTAGAGAAAAGGTTAGATCAAAAAGAATTAACCTAGAAGGTAACACACATGCACAGGAAATCAATGTGAGTCAACTCCCTGTATAGCTATCCTTATCTCAACCAGCAAAAACCCTTGTTCCTTCCTATTATAGCTTATACTCTCTCTACAACAAAATTAGAGATAAGGCAAAATAGTTTCTGCCTGGTAGCGAGGAGGTGGAGGGGGGGTAAGGGAGGGGGTGGGGGAAGGGGGGAGAAATGACCCAAACATTGTATGCACATATGAATAAAAGAAAAAGTTGGATTACGATGTGAATCCATCTGCCATTTCTGTCTTCTGATTGAGATATAGTTACCTATACAGCAGGATGGATGGCAGCTAACTTTGCTATTTCTTTTGATATATTTTATGACTCTGTTGTTCTGTTCCTCCATTCCTGCCTTCTTTCATGTTAAATAGTTATCTTTTTGAGTCCCTGCTGTTTCTTTTACTCTTTTTTTGATTTATGCTTTTAGTGGTTGCCCTGGATATTTAATCTGTTTTAGATGCGTATCAGCAGACTTTCAGCAGTGCTCTGATAGTTGCCACAGTACTCTGCAGCTTTTGCAGAGTACTCTTTATGCTTTTGGTTTTTTTTTTTTTTGCCTCTTTATGCTTTTTATTATTCACACAAAGAACATAATGATCTCAGCATCTTATAAGCCCACCACACAGCTGTATGAGTATTGCTTTAGGCAATTGCATTTTACAATGCAAAGAATTATAAACAAAAATATTTATACTTTTTCCTAATACTGATGTAGTTCTCTTCATAGTGTTCAAGTTAACGTATGGTGTCCTTTCATGAGAAGGTGGAGGATTCTCCTTAGTATTCCAGGGAAGCTCACAGTAAAACCAATTCTCTTACCTTCGGTTAATGCAGCAGTCTTAATTTCTCCTTTATTTTTGGATCAAGGTTGCATGAGACAGAGGATTTTTGGCTGACAATCTATTTCATCCTACTATCTTTTGGCCTCTGTGTTTTCTGATGAGAAGTCAATTGCTAATTTTTACCAAGATTCACTATTTTCTTTTGAAGAGATGATTTTCAGTTCGTTGTGAGGCTCTGGTTCTTTTTAACACTGGCTCATTTCAGTTGTTTTACCCTTGTTTTCATAGTCGTAGAGGGAGAGTGAGTTTCACCAAGCTCCCAGTCTGCCATTTTGGAAACTAATCTTGTTTCATTTTAATTATTCAGTTAATGTGTTGTGGTATCTTATAAAACCACTTTCCTTAATAGTTATTTTCTCTAAAATGTCTGAACCATTCCCATGTGCTTGACTAATTTTTCAGTTTGATGGTAGAATCCATTTGCTCAAAAACTAAAATGCTGTTGGAGATGAGGATGGTGGGCACAGTGGCTCATGCTTGGGATAGCAGCTACATGGAAGGCAGAGGTAGGAGGATCACGACTGAGACCCTATCTTAATCAATAATCGAGTATGGTACCACATGCTTATGATCCCAGCTACGTGGAGGCAGAGGTGGGGGAACTGGAGTTCAAGGACAGTCCAGCAAAAAAGTTAGCAAGACCTCATCTTAGCCAATAAGCCAGATGTTGTGGTACATTTCTGTGATCTCAGCTACATAAGAGGTTTAGTTAGAAGGATCACAATTTAAGGCCAGCCCACACACAACTTGAGAGCCTATCTAAGAAATGACTAAAGCTATGGAGGCATGGCTCAAGTGGCAGACACTTGCCTAACAAGTGCAAAGCACTGAGTTCAAATCCCAGTACTGCACAAACAAAAACAAAACAGAAATTACAATGGCATTGTGTAGATAGATCAGCTTCTCAACACTCAAGCTTCCTACTCTCCCCTACTTTCAACTGTCTGGCAAATTTACTGGCTTCCTTTCTGTGGAGATTCCATTGTATTTTCCCTAGGCATTTCACATTTCCTGTTGTGATGGTGACACAGGGATCAAAGTGCCAAGTTACTATTATCTCAATATGAAACAACAGATCAGAATTTTCTGGTGTGAAAACACTCAACACACCTAAAGTTAATGGAGTCGGGCTCAATCGTTCTACAAGTGAAAAGTTTTCTACTTTATATTTGAAGCAACAAAGTATCTCTGTTCAAGTTAAATCTTAATAATACATTTAATTCATAATAAATAAAAGCAGAGCTGTGCGGCTGCAGGCGAATCACCAGAAAGATGAAGCAAGCCATAATCCAAGCTTGGTGTTTCCAGCCCCATTCCTGATCCTGGAGAGTCGCTAAGGACTGATTGTAGCTACTGATGAAAACTCACTGAAAATTCCTGAACTATGGGGTGAACATATCCACGTCTGGAGGGTGGTGCACCCCAAGCATCTCTTCCTTTGGCGGTCCTCTTTAGTTTTTTAAATATCCTTTGTAATAAATAGCCCTTTTGTGAGTCACTCTAGCAAATGATCACACCCAAGAAGGGAGCTGTGGGACCCTCTGATCTAAAGTGTAGGGGACAGGTCACTTAGGGACCTACTACCTTCACCTGCTGAGCCCTTGACCTGCTGTGGGGAGTTGTTAACTCTTCTTACTTCAGAGTCAGACTTGGACTGCAGGACGCCCAGCTGGTGTGAGGTCACTGTGGTGTTGTGATTACAATCTGATATGTCCCCTGAAAGGCTGGGTTCCCAGCTGACAGGCTCTTGGGAAGAGATTGGAACTAGAGGGCACTGCTGAATCCTCAGCAGTGGATTAATCCAGTGATGGATTCAGGAGTTACTGGGAGACAGTGGAAAGTAGGAGCTGGGGCCTGGTTAGAAGAAGCAGGTCCCTGGTGGCGAGCTCTTGAAGGGTTTGTGTTGTTCCCAGACTTCCCTTTCTTCTTGTTCTCTGCTTCCCAGCTGCCATGGTGAGCAGCTGTGTTCTGCCATGATGCTGTCCGCCTGTGCTCTCCCTCAACGTTCAGCCTTCTCTCAGGCCCAGAGGGACAGGGCCAAGTGCCCAGGAACGGAAACTTCTGAAATCTTGAGTAAAAATAAATCCTTCTCCCTTCAAGTTGTTTTAAATTAGATATTGTGTTACTGGGATGAAAAGTGGCTACCGCAGTGGGGAAAAAATTCCAGCACCTCTGATATCAGAAGGGAAATACTGAGAGTGGTGCAGATACGAAGAGAAAAATGGTGCTTCCTGGCTTCCCCACCCCATGTCACAACAGAGAGAAGCATTTTGACACTCCCATTTACAAGTAATCATGGTGCCAAGTTTTCCATTAAGTGGGGAGGTAGATTACATTATCTATTGCTATACTGTCTCTGGATAGATTACACTGTCCACTATTTTCACTCAACACAGAACAGAGGGCACTAGAGATAGTGACGCGTGAGGACACCCCTGGCTGACAGTGCTGACTTGACAGCTACAGGACGAGAAGCATCTTTGAACTTAGCATGTGAAAGCATATTTGTACTCTGGGTCTTTTCTGTAAAAGACTATTTTATTAATTTTATTTTTGAATAAAAGAACTTTGAAATAATTTGGGCAACTTGAAAAATATATTGAGTATGATGTTTTTGATTAGAAAAATGTAAAGAGACTGTGCACAGCAGTGAGGGTTTCAGGAGAGAAGAGGACACTGACCACTGTATGCTGAGGAAAGGCCTCGACACTGGGGACTGAGAGGCTGACTTCTCAACGTGGCAACAACTTCTGAACAAAAAAAGCTTTTGCTCTGATCCAGCCCACATCTTACCCACCATGGTAATCTGTCTGGAACAGGATAAGACCTAGTATGGTTTGAGATCCTTAACAACTTCATAAAAAGTTGGTAGGAAGCAAAAATTTAAAGTGATTGACGCTGCATTTTAAAAAATATTTTAAATTGTGACATGTTCCTTCAAGAGGTGCTATCTTAAAATGTAAGAAAGGGATGGAGTTCTGTTCTCATTTTGCAGATATGTTTAGCTCAGGGTGGTACAAGTCAATGCTAAGCAGCTGCTCAAAAATTAAAATCCCAGAAAGCTGGGCATGGTGGTGCACACTGGTAATCCCAGCATGTAAGAGGCAGGGGGAGCTCACATTTGAGGCCAGGCTACACCACACAGCAAGACCCTGACAAAAAAAAAAAAAAAAAGCCAATAGCTCAGAAAGAGGAAGAGGCACAGGGTTCATCCTGAACGTGACACTCTCATGGATAGCATTTTAGGAAGTCTTACTAAAATATAATTCAACAATTATTAAATTCCAATAGCTTAAGGACTGTGCTCCCTTCAATGATTTTCCTCAGAAACAAAATCAGGAAAGGGCCCGGGTTCTGAGTCCCAGCTAAGTGACTTGCATCTCAAGTCTGTGAAAAGGAACTTGTATCAATTGTCCTTGGAAAAGTCATGGGCATCCAAGAACTTGTGCGCCATCCAGGTTTTGTCCTTCAGCATCCCGAGGTCAGATAAGCTCAGCATCCAGAAATATCCCTTGATTTGTGCTTTCTCTGATGTCTTGTGTCCTTGGGATCAAAGCCTCTTTCGTTGGCTCCAAACACTGCCCAGGGAGGAGTTTTGGCCATATAATCCTGTGCACTGAAGGTCTCTGCTCCGCCGCTGTCCTCGTACCGCTGGATGAGTGCCTGAAAGCGGTCATAGTCAATCCACGTCCACCATTCACCATCAATCTTAAACTGGAAAGAAAACAGGTCCTCCAGTCAGAAATAACACCATCCACAGAAAAAATGAAGCAAATACCAAACATCACAAATTTTTTCTATCATATAAAAATTCTTCCATGTTCAAAATGTGGCATCTGAGTTTGGGACCGTGATTCAAGTGGTAGGGTGCTTGCCTCACAGGTGCAAGGTCCTGAGTTCAGACCCCAGTACCACCAAAACTAAACTAAAGTAAATATGGAAAAATATGGTCCCCATCAAAGCAAGAGTCCCCTGGGACTGTTCCACACAGGCCTGGAAGACCCAAGGGTCGAACACGGACTGTTCCTGGGACTGGAAGTTCAGCCACCATAAGCAGTGTGGCTGGCAGTGCCAGGATGCTGGCACACCAGGAGGTCATGGTCAAAGCTGCTCTGCTTCCTGCGGCTGCTGCTTGCTGTCCTATGTGCACAGCCAGCTGTGTCAATGGCACTCGTGGAGCCTTTTTATTGCCCAACTTTGCTTGAGTTATTAGAAAGCTTTAATCAATGGCTTCTAATTCTGAAGTGCTAACTAAATGACTCAAACTGGCCTTTCTAGTCTAACATGTATACAATATCTCATTAGTAGAGAGTCTTGTTAGGAATTTCAATTCAATAAAGGAATAATCCAATTTGTACTCTCTCAAACAAACTGCTTCTCAAAAGTCACTGTGGAGTAATGATGGGGATGAAGAGAACAGAAAGAAGACTGGGGAGGCTCTGAAGGAAATACTAATTGAGCTGTGAAGGCTTTTATTCAAAGCATGTGTGACATTTGTTTGTGTAAATGTATAACTAATATGTTGAAAGCTGACTTATAAACAGACAGGTATTTCTGTTACACCACTGTCTTAAAAAACACAGACCAGCAAGGTGGTACACACGCCTATAATCCCAGCATTCCGGAGGCTAAGGCAGGAAGATCTCCATGTTGAGGACAGCCAAGCACAGCAGGACCCTGACTCAAAACAATAACAAAACCTCATTATGAGCCAAGTTATTTCCTGTTACAGCTGAAAAAAGACACTGAAAGTTGGTTTAGAATTTTCATAAATGTAGCATGTTAAAATACCCAAATTTAAATGGCATCTGATTTCTATCCAATAGCTAAGAGCTTTCTAGAGGAAACACCAAATAAGTGTAAGCGTTTAATTAGTCTATCTATGAATAATGAGACGTTTTCTCTACCAGGACCATTACTTTCTCTCCCAAGACTGACTGCTGAGTGTTCTCTATCTCTGTTGAAGCAACTCACTGTTGCTTCATTGGGGACCTCATCCAAACAACGCCCGACCCCATCAGCTGATTCCCCCTGCACAAGCATGTGGGTCACCAGTGCCTGACCTCACCCCTCCCAAGGCCCTTACTTGAGGACATGGCAAGTCTTCCAACTGCTGGACCTGATTCCCAGTTGGCTTTTTCCAACCTCTACAGAGTGACATGCCAGAGGTGATGCTCACGGCATAAGAGATTCCCGCCATGTGGAGCAGGAAGTCTGACTGCCAGCTGTGTGACCTCACACGCCTTCCAGCCTGCTCCCTGTCACATCAACACTTCTGCCTTGGGGCCCCTGCATTTACTGGGACACCTCCCCCAGTCTCTTCAGACACCACAGCTTGGCCACAGCCTTTCCCAGCCTGAGCCTGCTCCACCGCAGTGCACTGTCACAGTCTCTGCAGCCTCCTCCCTCCGTGACCCAGCTGTGTGTTTCATCCGACCTTCCACTGATGCTGTCACCTAGGACATGCAGGTCTTCCCTTCCTCCTCACCTCCCAGCAAAGTCCTTCCGCCTGCTCATGGCACCACAGAAGAAAACGAACTGTCTTAATGGTGTACTCACTACCCACAGTGCCACACAAAGTGATGACCCGGATGGCATAGGAGTAGACAGCTTGTTAACATGCATGTGGGTAAAATGACGCCAACGGTGACCTTTACTGTTCCCTCCTTCTGAAAGGGGCAGCTGAGGCTGGGGCATGTAGAGGCTAATCTTCGAACGACACAGCACATGCAATGAGGTTACGCGCAAGGCACCCTGGAGTGCAGAGAAAGAAGGGAGAAGCTTCACACCCTCCCTTGCTTGCTGGGAGAAGCAGACAACCGTATTCTCCTCTGTCACATTTCTTTCCCTTTGGAGGCTGAGCTCTCCAGGGACCCTTAGCTACAACATCCTGGCCATCCTCCCCTCCCCTCCATCAGCCATCACTTGCTGTGGGTGGCCAATGAGGGAATCAAGGATGGTATGGACTAGAACAGTAGACCTGAATTTTCTTTTCTTCTTTTTTTTTTTTTTTTTAGCCAAACTTTATAGTAAAAAATAAATTTTGCAGGTCAATCTAGTATGCACACATACACACATACACAATGGAATACAACAAACATATGCAATAAATGCCAGTTTTAAGAAGCCTGCTGACTGCACACCAGTAAACCGATTTCCTAGTTCCTGTTTGAAAGTTTTCCTGTTTGAAAACTTCTGCAGTAGAAGAGATGGTTTCTCTCTCTCTCTCTCTCTTTGCAGTACTGGGGTTTGAACTCACGGCCTTGCACCATTCCAGCCACTCCACCACCTGTTCCCTGGGAGTGAAACTGCACCCTGATTTAAGGAGGAAGAAACCAGCTGCACAGGTCTGCCCTCTGTAAGCTCAAGTCCAACTAGCGACAGCTCTTATTCCCAACAGCCAAGAAAACAAACCAGACACCAGGCAGACAATGGCATAAAACATGTGACCAATTAGCCAGGCTGGGACCACAAAATTCCACGGATGCAGTGGCCTAACAACTGAAATGTGTTTTTCTCTCAGCTCTGAAGCTGGAGGTCCAAGACAAGGTTCCTGCTGACCGGTTCTGGTAAGGCCCCTCTTTCCAACTTGCAGATGGCTGCCTCCTGCATCCCTTATGCCTTCTGTTGGGTCCTGTGCTGGGCTCTGTGCTTGTGCACGTGTGTGGGAAACAGAAGACTACTCTGCTCTCTGCTGCCTCTTTCCAGGACACGAATGCTTGCAGACCAGGGCCCCACCCCTATGACCTCATTTAACCTTCACTATCCCCTTAGAAATCCTAAGTACAGCCACACTGGGGGGTTAGGACCTTGCCATAGGAATGGGGGTGGGGGGAAGGGGTGATACACACTCAGCCCAGAACAGAAGGTGAAATCAGTGCTGAGCCATCAGACCCGAAAGACACAAATGAGTTGGCAAATGCCTGCCAGAATGATGCGAGAATAAAAATACTGAATAAATGCAGGCGCTCAGAAGCAGTGAAAGGGCCTCCTGCAGAAGGCAGGAGTTAAAAGGACAAAATCCAGTAGGATCCGACACACAAATCGAATCGTGTTGAATGGCAGCTGCGTAAACAGAAATCCAAATCCTAAAGCTCCACCAGGTTAAGTCCCAATGCCTGAGGTCATCCTGGGTCAAGAGTTCCTCAAATGCACCCTGCGGAGTGAGGTCTATGTAGAATTACAAACACAATCGAAAGGTCCGGGTGATCTGGAAAGCACCCAGCGAAGTGAGACAAGGCCTGGTGGATGAAGGGGCCAGTCAGAACAGTGGGAGCTCCGGTTCTCATCATTTCCCATCTGTCACACATGGAAAATGCACTACACAGAACACTGACAACATAGGTTCTTTGCTGTTAGAAGTACTTTAAAAGAGTACTTAGAAGTACTTTAAAAGATGGTTGGTGAGACACAGGCGTTTACTTTCACTTCCCCCCAAAATGATGTGACCTAGGAAAACACAGACATTAGGAGAGAAAACTAACTGTACCAACCTTTTAGACACTGAAAAGATGAGGTTCAGATCCAAGAGAGCTAAATCCCAGCTGGAAACAGAACTCCAAAGTCCAAGCCAGCACTCAGAAACATCAGGAAAACAGCTGCCCTGGAAGTGGAGGATGAAGCAGTCCAGGAGCCTAGGAATCCTAGCCTAGGCACATAGGTAGGATGGTGCCTCATGGTCCCAACCCCTAACGCAGCCCAGCTCAGCCCAGCGCTGCCTGCCATGCCAACAGAACATTGGGAAGTCCAAACGAGAGAGCATCTGTGGTCACAGGTGACAGGGACAACTGAGGACAGGGCCGCCACACTGAAATGGCTTCCCTTCCCTTTCCTGCTTCCAGACCTCACAAGCTGAGAGAGGTACAAACCCATTACCATGACAAGAGGGCTGACAGGAAGACGGTAAGTCTGGAAAGGCCACGGGTGAAGGCCGCATAGGCAGGGCCTTCCATGTGTGTTCCAGAGCCCGCCTCTCAAAGGCAAGCTGACCACTGACCACCAGGCAGCCAGGCAAATGGCTAATGTGAAACAGACAAAACGGCTCTGCAACCACCAAGTAAGCTAGTGCCAAAATACTGTGCTCATAAAGAACACTTGGGGAATTAAAACGACTTTAGATTTATTAAAAAATGGGAACATAAATGAAAGATTCATGAGAAAGTTAAGAAAACAAAATTAAGACCATTTCTTACAATACAGAGTTAAAAACCACCAAGGAACACAGGAAAAAAAGATTTTAAGATGATTAAAGGATGAGCCCAGGAGGCAAATTTAATCTTTTTCTTTCTAGGAGTTGTAGAAGGAGAAAAACTAGAAGGGAGAGAATCTTTAATAAAATAATTCTGGAAAAGTTTTAGGAAGCGAAGGGCATGAGTTTCCAGATTACAGGGTCCACAATGGGTAAAAACACACACCAACCACAGCACAGTGACTTCTCAAACACCGGAGAGCTGGGCTGTCACTAGGAGAACACACAAGTGCAAAGGATCGACCACACCTGGGCTGGGCGCAGCTCAGTGACAGACACGAGCCTGGCCTGTGCAAGGCTCTGGTTCTGACCCCAGCACCATGAGAAAAAGAACAAAAACAATGGCATGCCTAGTCCAGGCATGGTGGTATACGCCTATAATCTCAGCACTCGGGAGACTGAGGCAGGAGGATCACAAGTTCAAGGCCAGCCTGGGTTCCAAAAGCAAGAACCTGTCTTAAAAAAT